AGGGTTGGGAAACGGGTAGAGATATTTGGGTTGGGAAATTAATGTACTCTTTTTCTTTTTTATGGTTATTCTTATTATTTTTAATATTTTTAAATCAAAATAAATATATCCACTCTCCTTTTTAGAGCGTGTAAGCACTCATTTTTCTTACTCAGCAAATTGAATGACACATAAGTTCAGTCAACGGTAAGAGGAATTTAAAATACATTGGGATGACAAAGTGACACAAATATAGGTATCATTTAGACTAAAAAATCTTCCAACATCTCAATATTCTCCTTTTTTCAACACCTCCAATCTCCGCACCATGTTCGTTCTGTGACTCTCCATATTCTCCAATCTGCTTAATTTAACAAACTTTTAGTTCTTTCCCAAATGGGCAACTTTTTATAATTTGAAACTTTTACACGTTGAAAACGAAAGTTTACTCAACGAAAACTATAAAGTATATTGTGGTCCAAGCTCGTTAAATATTCCTCGTAGTAGTAGCTGGACGAATTCAATAAATTTGGTTTAAATTTGTATCTTTTTTTTAGAAATTCATTGAATATTCATAAATTATTAATTTAATACCCAATTATTTATAAAAATTATAATTATAAACTCATAAACTTCTTATCTCTCGTAGTACATGGTTCACAGCCAAGCACACCCCACATATCAAAGACGAAAAATTACCGAACCCGCCAACCACCAATAAAATAGTGCCACCCATTACTAAATACTATTATTCTCACGACTTTACGATGGAATCATTCGACATACATTTGAGTACTTTACGGAAAAAATTCAAAAATAGCTAGATTTACAAGCGGTCATTCAAAAATAATCACAGTTTCAAAAGTAACGAAAATTTAGCCACTTTTCATGTAAATATAAATCTGAACGAAAACACTATTCCAAATATGGAAAAATACTCCGGTACTCCAATCTCTAGTATGCTATACTGGAACTTTTCGCGTGTTGGAGTTCCATCATTATAGTGTATTATGCTGGAACTTTCCGTGGTGCAGCAAAATATGACTATTTTTCAATGACTTTGCAAACACTGGCTATTTTTGAATGACCAATCCGAAAATTGACTAGCCCGTGCTATTTTTACGTACTTTACGGATAAGCCTCTTTTCAAGAAAAACTCATTTGAAGTGAATTTATGGAAGTCAAAATTGCAGTTGAACATGTGTTTCACTTAGAAAAAAACGTGAAAGTTTAAGATTAGTGGGTAAAAATCAGTATTTCACTTGAAATACACCTTCAGACTAGTATCTTAACATTTCATTTGAATAGAAATTTAGCATTTGCAAATATTCATGATCAAACTAGCTAGTAGGGCATTTGCAACAATATATGTCAGTACTTGGAAATCTAAAGTAGTATATTATGCCCCGTGTTACGTATTGTGAATTTTTTTTTCCAGGTGTTCCAGTGCCAATAGAATAGAGCACCATCCTTAGAAATTAAAAAGACAATCATAAATAGTAGGGTGGTACAACATAGTAAAAGAGGACGTAAAAACACTCTAGTATACTGCTATTTGTACCTATTATAACCAGGTATATTATTGATGCAGCACCCACATAATAGAACAAATGAGTCTCTAAAAGCACATTCTGACCCATTATTCCCTTTTAAGTATCAGCTACATTGGCTAGCTCAGAAGTTACTCTTGTTATACTCGAAACAGCAGCACAGTGATGAACAGAACATAGGAGAAGTTTATCACCTTCAAAAGACAAGGAAACACCAATCATCTATGTAAATATAGATACACGAGAAGAACCAAGGATAGTAGAGAAGCACTCTCAAATATCCAATTGTTTTGTGGCAATTTGAAAATTTGAAGTATAATATTTAGCAGTTGATTCCCAACACTCAAATTTCTGATCAGTCAAAAAGTACATGAAAAGGGTACACAAATACTTTCAAAATTGTATTTTAGATATAGACTAAAAAATTCTGCCACAATTATTTTTTTGGCGAAAACATTTACTTTTCCCATCTCAAATTGAATGATCACTTTTCTTTTATAGGTTCTCACAATGATACCCACTTAATTTAAAAGCACAGAAACTATCTTTTACATATCTCATATAAAAGTTATGTAAGAACTGTATTTTTCTTTCTATATGAAACATTTTGCTAGTAAATCGTTTACAAACACGTCTCTTGATTAGATCGGGAGATTTACTCCTTTAAATTTTATTAGTAAACAATATTACCAGTAATTTTGTTTTGGTCCTAAATTTTGTTCTAAAAGGCATATTAAAGAAAATGTGTTTGGCAAGCAAAATTTATTTCTTATTCTTTCTCTTACGAAGTGTCACAAACAGACCATTGATCATGCTGTAAAATATATATGCAATTGTGCACAACAAAAGAAAAATCAACATATTCAGTTAAAATAAATGATTAAGAATCTTTGAAATTATTTTATTTTACCAATTCTTATTAAGTAAGGGAACCAGGAGATAAATCTCTAATCTAACAAAGAAATGGTCTACAAGTTCCCTGTTCAATTATCTAGCCTTACAACCTTTAAAGAAAAACTAAAAGCTTTAATTTGGCCTCCTTTTAACCATTCATGGATTTTTATTTATCATTTATTATATTCTTCCTCAACTTGAGAAGACCAAAGCGGGACAAATGTTTATATGAATACCTAAGTCCTAAAACCTATAATCTTTTAATCAAGACTGATATCACCGTAATTAGTTAATCATACTTTATTGTAATTGGGTGACTTATAAATTTTAGAGAGGCTATGCAGAAGAATGACACCAAACTTGATACTCCAACCTAGTGAAGCATATCAAAGGTGTCGTCATTCCTCCATCCTCCATACACCTGAACAAATGATTGCATAAGAGATATAAATAGTGGTGACAGAAGAGGCAAATTATATATAAAGTCGTTCATAAGCCTTATTAAATCCAACACTTTAAATAGTAATGTACTAATGGTCATTCCTAATTTAATTAGGCTCTATTCTTATCATAGTTCTAATGGTTAATCCTACATTTCCCTTCTCATCATTGTTAGCCAACTTCCTTACAAGCTATTCGCCCAGTGAAGCAAAAACAATGTTAGTATTTAGTTTATCATTTGTGATTCTCTTATGATGCAACAAAAATCGAAGGTAGTAGCACTTTCTTAGCATGATATCCTAAGTTTTATAGCTTGATTGTTGACGTACTTCAAATGGCAGAGCGGGTACGCAATACTTTAAGAATAGCTCCTGATCACATTTATACCAAGTCATAGGCTCAACATATTTTATAAGATTAGAATCAGCCAAGAAAGTTAAGATCTTGTAGAGACAAATCATAGAAGGAACTACTAATTTCCTTGAGCAGATTCACTTGCAGGTTTTGCAAAGGTTCAATTCCCAGAGGAAAGTTAAAATAGTTTCTCAAGGTTACTAGTTCTTACCACTTCACTTATTTATTCAACTAAATTTATGTCTCAACTATCTTCATAGTAATTTGATTTCGAGGAATGATTAAAATGAGAAACTAATTTTCCAATATGGTGATGCTTTGGGATTTAACTGGCGTATTAATCACAAAACATAATATTAAAATACTTATAACTCTTTCTTTATAAATGATTTCTTAGCCAGATGTAATTTTCCATGAATAAGCAAATCCAAAAGAGAGATGAAAATAGTTTGCAGCACCCCAAATGCACTATTCGTTGAGAACAAAGGTAAAAATAATTTTACAAAATTGGCAGTCTATTGAGCAAGAGCAACAACCATACCTTTTTTTTAAAAAAATTTTACACCAATTCTGCAGTCCCTGCACTACTTGTAACATGAACAATTACCAATCTTCTCATCAAGAAAACACGATAGTAAGTCATCAATTAGATGCAATTAAACTATAGAATTTTGAATCTAACTATGACTTCGTAGCTTACCTTGAAGAATTAACTGCTAGTTGAGTGTACAATGTCCCAAGAGGCAACACGCCTGGCCTCTATGATGTACATATCTACATCCAATTTGACAACTCTACCATGAAGCTCTACTGACTTTGTTCAACTCTAACTAAATTTCATAGAAAAGATTCACATATAGCATTTCATAATGCAACTCTCAATGTCACAACTGTTTTTCTTAATACAAGACAATATGTGATTAATTGAATACTGGCATTTGAAAAAAAAAAAAAGTAAGGTGAATAAGGGTATTACCTTGCTTGTGAAGTATGTTTGTAGGTTTTGGTGTTGCTAAAATTCTTTCCAAATTAGAGCACCAACGAGTTCAATCCGGAACATCTAAAGCGTAATTATAAAAGTTAGATTAGCACTTAAAATAAAATATCTATAGGTAGCGAATAATACAAAATAATATCATACATATCTTAAATACAACAAAATGTTCTTACTTTGTGAATTAAAGTAGGTAACTACTGCCAAATCTCACCTTTAAAAGGTTGAAATACAACACATTGATTGTTCACCGCGTTTTTCCAATCTGTTTATCACCAGCATTAACATCGTTGCTAGAGCTTCGAAAAATTCATTATCACTTATTTCTACAAGTCAATCTAATTAGTTTATCTTTCAATAACCTTTTACCTGTACAACTCTACTTGCCCACGAAAAAATAGGCAAATAAAAAATGAATCATCAGTGACAACTTATTGACCCATCTCTACTTTAATACCATGGCCAATTTACCTCACCCATAGCAACATATTCAATTGGATTAACAAGTAAAATACAAAAGTCTATTATTGTTTCAATCCTTTTATAAGTGTTTCTATATTTGTACAAAAGTTTATGAAATTTTTTTCCCCAAGTCACAAAAATGTAAAGGTTTGCAAAGTTGAAGGCAATCTTAATTTACTCGAAAATAACAAAAAGAGAAAGACAAGAAATTCTTACCAAATAGTTTAGTTGTTTCAGACATATCACCGAACACCTTGGGTTCATCAGTATGCCCAGTTTAAATTCCATGGCCTTGAGTAAGGAATGAAAATAATCGGAAGAATAAAGTAAAAGAAGAGTAAAATGCAAAATTATTTGGATATAAAGTGTGACTAAATATAAATAATCGAGATTTACAAATATAGAGCACCATGAAAGTACGTTTACAAACAGACCAACATTGTCAATAACTAACACTTTGCTGCTATGGAAAAGACCTAATCTTCCAACAGAAAGCTTGATACTACAGATTTTTGCATAAACATTTCAATTTGCAGATAGTAATAAGCAGTGGCGGATCCAGAATTTTTAAATCATGGGTACTTAATTATTTTTAATCTCAAAATTGCTACTAAGACTGGGTGCTCGATTAATATATTTGTAAAAAATTTCTTGTTTTTCATAATAAATAATAGTGTTTGGTTCCATCATAATGGGTGCTCAAGCACCCATAATCTATAATGTAGATCCGGCCATGGTAATAAGTGCCTAAAGACGATAAGAGATCAACGATCAGTAATCCAAAATAATATAAAATTACATGCACCAGGTACATTATCTCAAACATGCTAGATCAGATAGAATTACTGACATGCATGTAAGAAAATCTAACAAAAAATTATTCAGAAGAGAAAGAAATCTAAAATTGAAGCAAAAATGAACAAACTCTCAAAGGAATTCCAAGGTCACGGGCATAAATTAGAGCAAGAAAGGAGAAAACTTACCAAAAAATCCGAACTTCTCACATGCCGCAACATTAGACAATTGTCGCAGAGTTCACATGCCATAACATATAATCCTAGTTAAAGAATAAGATTTATTTTCCTGTACAGCAGATAATGGCGCAGAACACATGAAATGCAGAGACAAAGAGCAATATGATGTCAGACACTTAATCTGAAATGTCAAAATCACCCAAAAAGACATCCATTAACGTTACAAGGAGGATTAGAGATTTACTGCATTTGAAGATGGCCACACTATTAAAGACCAAACCATGAAACTTTCTAGAAAATTTTAAAAAGAAAAAATTAAATCATAGCTCACCTATTTAAATGGCCAGAAGAAGCCGAGTGATGAAGAAGAATAAAAAAAGAAATATAGTGATGAAGAAGAAGAAACGGCGAAATCGGGTAAGGCTTGTGAAAATCAGTAGACTATAATATAGTGTAATCCAGCTGTATCCCACAATAAAAGTGTTCCAACACGTGTTATCAAGAAAGACGAAATAGAAGGGCTGGAAAGTAAAATACCATAATGCCCATAACAAACAATATTATTCCGAAAGTACCCTTCGTTGTACGAGGATACCTTTACTTATTATATAGTTAAAAATTTAGTGAAAACACCTTATAAGCTGAATTTGTACTATGCTTAAGGATGTATCATTCATCCCTTTAATTTCTACATTTCATTTTTTTAAATTCAATTAGCTGATGAGAAAGCTCTATTATTGAAGAAAAGAGGATTATAATAGTTGCCACTCAAGAACAATGGCTAATTACTTTCTAAAAAACCATTGCTATAACCAGACAGGTTGGTGTTTTAGCACAGCAAAATTAAATAACTTTTTATATATATATATATATATATATATATATATATATATATATATATATATATATATATATATATATATATATATTTCATGTGTCTTGTATCATGGAAAGTTTAATACTAGAAAATTTCATGTTGCTAACGCCTTTACATCTCTCTTTTTTTTTTAAAGATAAACATATATTAATATTAAGTATTGCGTACAGAGGGTGGATGCCATACTGCATCATATTACACGCACTATTAAAACTACCATCAACTGCATCACTATTACATTACCCATTTACAGCATTATAGTTATCTGAGTGAGGCCTGAAGTGTTCCAAAACATGTCCTTGCACTGCACTCCTTTCTTGTTCAAAAACTGACCATGCAAAGTCCGGGCTGTCTTCCAAAATACGTACCGCTGAGTTAATGTCAAAATTGCATCCTACCTTTGCTAGTTTATCTGCTACCCTATTCTGCTCTCTGTACGCATGCAGTACTACCGGCTTACCTAACCTGTCCAGGAAGTACCTGCAGTCAGTAGTCAAATTGTCAAATGAGACATTGTTAGAATAGAGTAGTGTTATAATGTCTTGTGAATCCACTTCCACCTCCAGTGGAACAAGGTAATGTGAGTAAGCTAACTGGAGTCCCTGCAATAAACGCATGTAATTCAGCTGAAGTTGATGAACTCCCGTTGGGACTGCTGCTGCAAACGCCAACATCCATTCAGTCTTTTAGAATTTCGTATTACGACCACCAAATCCAGTCTTTATTTGCTGTATGTGCTCCATCA